AGGGGTGTTCTGAGTGTTAAGCTAGGTGTGTGTTAATGGGGTTGTTTGGTGTGTGTAGAGTTGTGCTGTGGTGAGAATGGTGATACCGCAGTGCAGGAAGGGTCGTTGCAGATGTTGTTGTGCTGGGGTGTTAGAGAGGTTGGTGTGGGAGGGTGTGATGGGGTATTCAAGAGGTTGGTGTGTTAGGGGGGTGATGGGGTGTTAGATAGGTTGGTGTGTGGGGTGTGATGGGGTGTTGGAGAGGCTAGTGTGTTGGTGATATTATATTGTAGGGGTGTTCTGAGTGTTAAGTTTGTGGTAATGGGATTGTATGGTGTGTGAAGAGTTGTGCTGTGAGAAGGGTGATACTGCAGTGTAGGGAATGAGGTCTTTCAATAGGCATAGAAAGCTGAATGCCAATGGTTCCAAATGGTTGTTGCCTAAGCATATTTTTCAGCCAAAATCGAATATTTTATAATATTTATACAATCAGTACACAATGACTTCTTGTTTTATCAAGGCTTGAAATATTTTTAAAAAAAAATTGCCAGTAATAAAACAGTATTTTGGCTGACACTAATTTGGATTAGTAGAATCAGAGTGTTGTGAAGATATGGGATGTTATATTATTTAATATAAATAAATAATCTACTAGGCTATACCCCATTGACAGCTATTTTATCATGGAAAACAATTGTAGTGACTTTCATTGTTACTTACATAGACTTTTCAAGCCTATTGGGGTGGCAAGGGCGTTAATTGTTTACACAGTTTTAGTATATCACTGTTTGTTCACATGGTCTATTTACGTGACGCAGTGTAGCTCTTCTCTAAAAAAATGTGTTCACTCCCTTCTCTAGTGACTGATATTGAAGTCAGATTTTATTTGTCTGTAGTATGTTATTAAAACAGAGCATTTACAACTGTGATACTGGACTATAGGATTTTGTAAATGTTTTGTGGTAAATTGAGTGCTTTGCCTCTAGACTATGTTGTCTTTTATTCTGTGTCAAGTTAAAGTTCTGACCATCTGTAAAGCTTTGGTCTGTATCAAGTTCTGTCCAGTGTTCTGCTTTGTCAATTTCATTTGGTCAGTGTCATGCTTTGCCAGTTTCATTAGGTCAGTGTCATGCTTTGCCAGTTTCATTAGGTCAGTGTCATGCTATGCCAGTGTCATGGTTTGGTCTGTGTCATGCTTTGCCCAGTGTCATACTTTTGCCACTTTCATTCATTTGGTCAGTGTCATGCTTTGCCAGTGTCATTACTTTGGCCAGTGTCATACATTGGTCAGTGTTTTGCTTGAATAATGCTTTGGCCAGTGTTATGCTTGGTCAGTATCATTTGACCAATGTCATGCTTTAGCCAGTATCATGTTTTGCCAGTTTCAGTTGACCAGTGTCATGCTTTGGCCAGTGTCAGTTTCTTACCCGTTTTATGAATGACTAGTGTCAAGTTCTGACCTGTGTCAACTTCTGACCAATTTTATCCATTGCCCAGTGTCAAGTTCTGACCTGTGTCAAGTCCCAGCATGTGTCAAGCTCTGGATTGCATCATGCTCCAGCCCCTGTCAAGCCGTGACCTGCGTCACACCATGACCTACCTCTTGTGGCCATGCCTAATCATGATTCCTCTGATTGTTAAACTTGGGCAGATAACAACTTTGAGATGGTACTTTTAACACAGCATCACATGACCACAGATAGCACACATCAGCCCGGGCGTGTTGCAGTAGTAGTTGTTTTGGTTTGGTCTTTGTACTGACAGTGATAGTATGTATTGTTTTGTTTATGCTCTCTAGAAGGATGGATTGTTATTGTTTGTTTTATTGTTGTATCAGGGATTTGATTATCAGTTGTTTAGACAGTTTTACTAGGTTAATCTATTTTATTTTTATAAATAGTTAAATGTTATGCATTTGCATAAATATGTCTCTATGTAATTATGATGCCCATTTTGATAAACCGCTAGTTATAAATAAATCATACCACATTATCTAGTAAGTCCCTCATCCCTACCTTATTGGTTAATGGGAGCCCATATTTATCAATGAATACCTCAAAGTAAAGTATACAGTCCATTATAATGTAGTACAAAATATTTAGCAATGATTTCTGTATTAAAAAGTATGTAAAATGTAGATTTACTTGTGTATGTATTAATGCATGTGTATATATCTACATCTCTCTCTCTACATCTCTCTCTCTCTCTCTCTCTCTATATATATATATATATATATACATATGTATATATATTTATATGTATATATATTTATATGTATATATATTTATATGTATATATATTTATATGTATATATATATATATATATATATATATATATATATATAATAGATGTTACAAAGACTTGGGTGCATGTACTTCCCTATTATATACACACACCTACATATGCATATACTTAAAATTGTGTGTGTGCACTTTCCCTCCATGAGTCTCTACAGATATGACCTGTACTTTAATGCTATTTACACTTTTGATCCCACTTTGTAAACAACATCAGCCAATCAAAATTTTACCCTCTGGTAGTTTAAAAACTAAAACTGTTGAGTCAGCATAACTGTGTAGTGTACTGTTTGATCAGCAGCTTGCTATGACTAACTAGTTAGGCAGGCTAACATGTCAGATGAGGCCAGTGGCTTCTTGTTCATTTTTGTTTTACTCTCCACCATACCTTTAGTGCTCCACCATCCCTTTTGTTTGTATGATCCACCATTCTGTGAATGCTCCACCATCCCTTGTGTTTGTATGATCCACCATTCTGTGAATGCTCCACCATCCCTTGTGTTTGTATGATCCACCATTCTGTGAATGCTCCACCATCCCTTGTGTTTGTATGATCCACCATTCTGTGAATGCTCCACCATCCCTTTTGTTTGTATGATCCACCATTCTGTGAATGCTCCACCATCCCTTGTGTTTGTATGATCCACCATTCTGTGAATGCTCCACCATCCCTTGTGTTTGTATGATCCACCATTCCGTGAATGCTCCATCATCCCTTGTGTTTGCTTTATCATCCCCTATATGCTCCACCATCCCATCTATGCCCCACCATCCCTTGCATATTCCATCATACTTTATATGCTCCACCATACATATGTATGCCACATCATATCCCTGTGTGCTCCACAATCCACTGTAAACTCCACCACCCTTTATACTCAATCAAACTCATATACTCTTCCATGCTTTGTATGCTCCACCATCCCCTGCATACTCCACCATCCCACCCCATATATAACACCATCCCACCCCTTATATTACACCATCCTTTGTGTAGTATACCATCCCCTATATACTCCACCATCCTATAAAATACTCCACCATCCCCCATATACTCCACCATCCCCATATACTCCACCGTCCCCTGTATGTATGTATGAATATGTGTGATCCAGCATTAGCTAGATGTACGCTTGACTTATCCTGCAGGCCCAACTCCACCAGAGCATGGTAAAACTTATTTGCATAGAGAAGGGTGGAGCCCTGGTATACTGTAAACCTTCTATAACACAGTAACATTCTTCTAGGTTTACTTATCTGACATAATTGAGAGATACATGTTTTTAAATTCTCTCTCGCTACATATATACCTATATATATATATATATATATATATATATATATATATATATATATAGTGTATGTATTTATGCACATATACAATAAATATTTATGTTTAGAAATATATGTAGTATAACTACTGAAGTCTGCTACCATATATTATACTGCACACTATGTAACATGTTTTAAATGTATGCAGTGTTTCAAAAGACTATGTAGTTTTTAGCCTCCATTAAAGTTTACGATTACAGCAATTTGAACTAGGTGTGCATATTGAGTTACCTGTGATGTGGGGGTGATACCCCATTAGATGTTAACACATTAGGGAGGGTTGGGTAATGGTTAGAGGTAACTTGTTACATTATGTGATACCCTTGAAAAAAAAAAACTAATTAGATTATTGATACCCTTGCTAATTAGTTAAATTTTTTTTTCTTCATGGATGTTCTAGTTTGACCTTATTTGGTTTGGAAATATATTTTTAGCTCTCTCCTGTGGGTTCTGTTTAAAGTCCATTGAATTTTTTATAATGGGTACTGGTTAGCAGCATTCCCCCTAATCTGTGCCATTGTATGGCAGTGCATTAGTTATCAACGTGCTGCACAGTCATTTTGCAAAATACGAATATCCTTGTATAAGACTTTACCAACACTATGCACACAAAACAAATATTGCACTCAAAGCATTTTTCTTCTTAGAGGAAATGTTGGTCAGGAGGGTGAAACTTTGTTCTTGATAACTATATAACCTTAGGCCTAGAAACTTTCAGCTTTGTTAAGGTTGCCTCAATAAAGTAAGGTTTGAATACTATTGCTTTGTTTGTTCATAGTCCAGACTAACAAGTAGTAAAATAACAATTAGGCCTATTGAACGTATTTCCTCATCGTTTACACAAACAATTAGTGTGCCTGTTATAACACACTTGTAACAATAGAGGTTGTGGATGTAATGGTCTAGTTAATTACACTGCCATTCAAGGGTTGAAATTTTTTCATTTGAGTTTTAATTATAGGATAGGCTTGTAATTGTAAATTAGCTTAATGACTAGGATTAGTCTTAAAACCATGATAACAGTGAAATAACATGATGGGGAGTTGGTTAAAGTCATGTCTTCAGGGCTATCTTGGTCAGATTCTTTTCCTTTCGCCATGTGAGGGTCTATCTTGTTATTTAGGATACAGGCTTCCTGAGTGTATGGCCAATCCATTTCCATTTTCTCTGGAGGATCTCTCCTTCAGTTGGTAATGTTGCACTAGTACCCCATTTATGATGATGTTCAGCCAGCGTATTCGAATGATCTTTCTGATGCATGAGTTTATAAATTGTATTTTCTTCTTAGTTGTGTGTAGTTTTTCTCCATGTCTCAGCTCCATAGAGTAAAACAGGTTTTACTAGTATGTGTTAAACTATTTTGTTTAATTTTTTTGTTTTATTATTCTCAGGTAACAGATGTGAACCAACTGTGGTTACATTTCAAGCAGCCTTCACATCAGGCACATTATTGATTCTCTGTACCTGTACTGTAACACCTATAAAAAAAACACCTGAAAAATAAAAAATAAAATTACTTCAAATGGTTTGGAGTGACAAGTAAGGAGCCAGTCTATTGGAGCATCTTCAGCTGAGCCAACCAATCCTAGGTGTTGTACCATGTGATGGAAGGACCACTCACTGATCCACTGTCAGCAATGTGAATGTCGAGTGAAATTGAGGTGAGTAACTTCTGATCGTTCATTGTAGGCGTGAGTCACCGTCATGACTCATGTTATTTTAATTCGTCTGATTAAAAAGGGACAGGTGCTTATATTTTTTTTTTATCTTTTCTGATAAAGTAGGTTATTTGTTAGTTATCTTGACTGTTTTTCCCCTACATCATTTGGTCAATACCACACCACCTTGGTTACTGCCCAAACAGTTTCCCTAACTCAGCTATTATGGGTAACTGACTCAAACTAAGATTGTTCTAGGCCAGTGGTTCTTAACCTTTTTTGAGGTACCGAACCCCCACCCGTTTCATTTGCAGATTCATCAAACTTTTCTTAATAGTTCCATCGTCCACACTGACAAAATCCGATTGTGAAACATGTGTCTGTTGTGTGTCTTGAGCTCTGCCGAACCCCTGAGACTGATTCACCAAACCCCTGAGGCTCTATCGAACCCAGGTTAAGAACCACTGTTCTCTGCAAAATGCTGAAAGTGCAATAATTTTGTTTTTAGGTGTAGTTGTAAGGGAGGGACGATTTTATAAATATCTCTACTGTGTAATGTGTATATGGGGGAACAAAGCATCTATTATGTGAATTCTGTACAGAATTCTTCAGAGGGAAAAGTGTATATTAATGACAAAACTGACGCAGTTCAAATTTCTATGTTTTTAAACATGTATACAATCAATTTATTCCCACTCCTAACTGTCTACATTTTACTCCTACTCTCTAAACTATCTCCTGGTCCTAACAATATCTGTATTCAACTGCTTTCTAACACTCAATTAACCTATTCCCCTATGACCCACAGTCTAACTCTTACCAAATCCTAACGCTTGGTCAGCTGACCATCACACATGACCGGTCAGTTGGTTCAACTGCTTTTCATTTGGTTCTAGCTGACCTAAGCTAATTCATAGTTTCTATGTTTTCTCCTTTCTGCTTGACCTATTTCTAATCTTGCCTAACTTTGCATCATCACGACTACTAACCAGAAAGTCTCGAGTTCAAATCTCATGCTTGAGCCAGTTGTATGTCCCTGATTACACTCAGCACTGCAGGGTACCATACTGGATAATTGATGAGAAATTTAAAAAAAAAAAATGGAAGTTTGGGTATACGGGGGGTCGGCGTAGTCGAGTCGGTAAAGCTCATGGTTGCTAAACCGAAAAGACTCGAGTTTGAACCCTCGGGCAGATGAGGCTCGTAAGTTGGGGACAGCTACTCTTCTAGAAGAGACAACTCCAAAATCAAACGACTGCTGCCTTGCAGTTTGTTCTTGGTTGGACAAAGGCTATGGAAGCAAATCCAAAAAGAAAAGCAGGCTGAAATCGGAGTCAATGGTCTCATAATGGCATAACCAGTTGACACATAACGCTTAATTGTGTTGGAGGCGTGGTCGAGTCGGCAAAAGCTCATGGTTGATACATTCGAAAAAGTCTCGAGTTCAAACCCTCTGGCAGATAAGGCTCGATCCCTTCCAACACTAAAAATTAAAAAAGAAGAAGAAGAAGGGTATACAGGGATAGATTGACTTGTAGCAATATTTACTATTCCACTTATATTTTGGTTATGATCAAATGTACTAACACAATGTGATTCTCAAGCTTGCTGGTATAAATCTATCCTAAAGTTAAATGTGCAGTAATCAGGCCTGTTTTCTTTCCTTCAGTTTTTGTATTCAATCTTTACATGTGACAAAGCTATTTCCAATTTTAGCGGTGGGATTTAATCAGCCGAACTTTGATTTCAATTAGAGATTAATTAGGCCCTGGTAATTTCAATTTAAGGCACATAAAAATTAGCTCTTACTCTAATTAACAATCACAAGAATAAAAAAAACCAACAGGAAACATAATCAGCTAGTTTTAAATCATTCTTTTAAACAGGTAATAAAGGTCTTCCTTATAGTTTTCAGTGACATTAGAATGTGTTAAGTGGATATTTGTGTAGTTTTGGGCAAGGTTTTGATTAGTGTTAATAAGGATAGTTTTTTGTTGACACCTTTTCACACACAAATTTAGTTTTATGTTGACTTTTGTGTGTTTGAAAATGTGTAAATAAAGCACATTTTCGACACTTATGGCTGGTGAAGTAGAGTTCACCTGTATCAGTGACCTCGGCATATGAAAGGATAGTGTTGTCGGCACTACGTCCAGCCGCTTTTACTTTTCCCAACGTCAGTCAGGTACCCATCAGAGCTGGGTGGACTCATGGACATGCTACAGACTCGAACTCCTTACTTTCGGATTAACAGTCGAACATTGTGTGTGTAAATGACGCGATATTTTGAATAATCAGCAATTCAGTATATGAATCGATATCTATTTTGAAGTGGTGACTCATCTAGGTCATTAACCTGTTAACACATTCCCTGTAAACCTGTTTTGTTTTTAAATGTATCTGTTTCTTCTAATTATGCCCTTCCTGTGGAGTGTGTTATAGTATTAATGGAAACAGGATTTGAATTCGAGAGGTAAAAATAGAACGGGCTTGACAAATCTTCACGGGTTTCCTGCTAGTAATGGAGGGGATTTGGCTTGTGTTGACATTTTTGTTTTTAATTTGAAATCTACGTGAGGTGGGGGAGGGGGGGGGGGGGGGGGGTATCGTAAGGGTTGGGTTGTATAAAACAAGTAGACACGGTAGAATTTAGTGTTGTAGTAAATCGTGCCAAAACGGCCCCGACAAAATAACTCCGTCAAAAGGGTCAGCTAAATTTAAAGGTACCGAGTTCGAACCCCCGGAGAAATGAGGCTCGATTTGCTGGGGGACAGCAACCCGTCTAGGAGAGATAACTCCAGAATCAAACAACTGCTGCCTAGTATCTTTTTCTTGTATGGACAAAGGCTGTGGAAGCAAATCCAAAATCCGTAGCCTGCATCAGATATTGACCTGAGAGCAGCAGCCAGTTCCCGCATTGGCCGGCCAACGTACGAAATACGATGTCAATTTTAAAGATCTTCTGATATTAGTCAGCACTCAAGATCATTTTAAACTCTTCGGATTGTAGCGCTCCCCTTAGAATCCCGAGGCAGCCGCCCAACCCGTCCCACCCTGGTTACGCCATGCAAGGGTGTGTTTTATTTTTAGTGTTGTGAAGCTAAGGAGGGAGTTGTCTCACATATAAGGGTCTTACACACAACCTACTATATTTTTCTTCATCCAAGATAAGAGCTCTTCCCATTTACGACCGTCATTACCGACAGCAATAAATTCGTGACCTTTGTTACATTTCGTTGTAAATTTGTAACATTTTTCTCTCACGTCTTAACTTTGTGACGGTGTGATGTCGAGAGTGGTTTATGTCATATTTTTTTGTGGCTGGTTTGTCTTTATCTGTTGTGGTTTCTTTTTTATGGTGGACACTTAGGACTTGTGGGCTCCTAGCTTTAGGGCTTGCTATGTGCATGTATGAACATGTGGAGATGATTAAAGTGTCTATATGCGCAGACTTTTTTCTCCGGGGTGTGGAGGGGGGGGGGGCACTTGAGGGGGGCCGGACTACATATTCGGGGGGGGGGGGGGGGCTGGACACTGGTAAAAGTATGTTTTCTATATAAATTTCATTTCGATCGGGGGGGGGGGGGCGGTAGACTTTCTTCGGGGGAGAGGGACCCCGAAGAGATGCCTGGAAAAAATTCTGTACATGTGTAGAAGAATTGTTGTTTTTTTTTATCTCAGTATGTCTCGCGTCATAGTGGGAATGTCCTAATATATCTTATTTATTAAAAAAAAAGTGAAGTTCCCTTTTCGAATCTGGCGCTACAAGGGGCAAGTGAAGCAGAGTTTACCTGTTTTTATTACCTCGGCATATGAAGGGATAATGTTGACAGCACTATGCCCAGCCGCCTTTACTTTCCATAACGTGAGTTAGGTACCTAGCACAGCTGGGTGGACTTAGGGGCGTCAGACTGACCTGAACCCGGACTCGACCTCGAGAATATCGGATGAGCAGTTTAGCGCTCTACTGCTCGGTCCTATTTTAGTTTGTCGGAATTTCTTAAATTGTGTTAGGTTTAAGAATGGCTTAGTTTGCATGGGTGTCATACTGGGAATCTCTTAGTTTAGGGGGAGTGGCTCAGTAGGATTTCATAATGTCCTAACAAGAACCTTGTTTTTTTTTTTACTTAGGATATGTCTTGGAAAGTAAAATGCATTTCTGTAGGGTTTATAGCGTTTATTTTCAGCGTACCCATGCCACATATCCATAAACCAGTCTACTCTTGGATAATGCTTATGAATCAACTACAAATATCCCTACTTGTGTTGACATATGTGTAATGTAATGCATTTCATTTATAATTTTCATTTTAATAAGTAATTAGCCATTGTCAATTAAAGTGATGAGTCATCCTAATATATAAATCCCCACGTTCGCACATCTCTCTCTCTCTCTCTCTCTCTGTCTGTCCGCAAAATATTTTCGCCGGACATCACGTCAGAATCGGCAGCGATATATGAAGAACTTTTTACGGACTTTTGTTGAAAATAATATGTGAGATGTTTTAAATGTATAACCACAATTTTAGTTAAAGAAGAAAAATAAAAATTAAAGGCGTATTCGAATGTAGAGAAACAGTATTATTTATGCAACCGGAAAAGCATTAATATATGTGAAAAAGAACGCATAAATATGTGACGTCACTATTGCTTATACATTAACTAATGACGTCATCTGCCGTGTTTAGAATGAAAAGAAATGAACTATTTCATTCAAATTTGATTTAGATCTACGTACACTATGAAATGTATACAATACAATTTTTCCGGCCTAAACTCATAAAATTTATTTGGATTCTAGATCTAGAGATTCTAGATCTAGACTAAATCTAAATCTAAATCTACGCAATAACTAGATCTAGACGTAGACGCTAAGATCTAGATTTAGTTAGACTCTAACTTCTCTAAAATCAATTCCAAAAATAAATTTCTATATTAGGACTAATCTATTTCAAGACTTATTTATTTTATACAAAATCTTTGTTTGGAACTGGCTAATTTGG